TTAAACAAGGCCGGGCCCGAGCGAAAAGATGGGTATGTTTGTTTACATGTCTGGCCACCCGAGCTATACACCTGGAAGTCCTCACCTCATTGGACACAGACTCATTCATCAACGCCATGACGAGCTCCACATCCCACAGAGGACCTCCCAAGCGCATCAGGTCCGAGAATGGAACCAACATGATTGGAGCGAACAGAGAACTTCAGGAGGAGGTGAGTAAGTGGAACAGCAGTGACAATGTTAGGAACACACTCTTGCAGAGACAAATAGAATGGGAGTTCAACCCCCCGACTGCCTCTCACATGGGCGGAGTGTGGGAGCGTCAGATCCGCACGGTGAAGAAGGTACTCCAGCAGGTGATGGGCACACAGGTACTGGACGAAGAGCGACTCCACACCCTGTTCTGTGCCATGGAAGAGATCGTCAACAGGAGGCCCATCAACCCAGTATCAGACGACCCGAGAGACCTCGAAGCACTCACGCCGCTTCACCTATTGCGAATGCACGCAGGAACCCTGCCCACTGGAGGCGATCAGTCCATAGCAGAAACGTACCAACGAAGATGGAAGCATGCTCAATTTATTGCAGACCAATTCTGGAAGAGGTGGGTGAAGGAATATCTCCCGACACTACGGCGGCGACAGAAGCACTTCCAGTCGCGTAGTTGCGGGGTGTCGGGTATGCTGAAGGTCCGTCCGTCGACTGTCGAGTCACTCACCAGTTCTCAGTAGACTGTATCGGCAGACTGTAGTACCCACGTTTTGACTATAACCGCCCAATGAACGACTGTTGGATAAGGAAACCCTTGCACGTAGGATTGTTCTTTATTCGGTCAAAACCTGCAGAGTACAAATTTTCATATGTTATGTATAAGATAATTAATTCAATCGTATGTCCCATCACTATTAATGACTACATATAATATATTTGAGTAGAGTAGGGTGTTAAACCATATAAAACTTAGGTGTTTCGGATCTAATGTAGGACTTATTAACTCCCTGACTTGATAGTTCACTGGACGGCTGGAGACTGCTCGAGCTAGTCAGCCGGAGGCGAGGGCCAGCTATTTCACTTAACACCTCGTTGTCAACACTCCCTCTGTCTCTCTCCTGCCCCCCCCCCTTCTCTCTCTCTCTCTCTCTCTCTCTCGTTCTCTCTCCTTCCCTCCTAGTTTATTCTACTGTGGCTGTAACAGTCATCATATATGGACATCCTCTCCCAAGGAGTCAATGGATGCTAGGAAGGGTTTTGGAGGTGGTACAGGGTGATGACGGCCTGGTGCAGTGTGCCAAAGTGAAGACAAAAGACTCTGTGTTAATACGCCCAGTGGCAAAGCTCTGCCAATTGGAGGGAGTCGGAGAGTGAGACTCCCGGCAAATAATGGGTTTCGAGCAAGCTCGACAAGGGGAGTGTTACCGCCACAGTAGGATAAACTAGAAGAGAGAGAGAGAGAGAGAGAGAGAGAGAGAGAGAGAGAGAGAGAGAGAGTTTACGACGAATTTTGCTGTGGTGTTAAATGTGAAACAGATGGCGCCTCGTCTTGCGGCTGGCTAACTCACTCTTTCTGTGGGGTGCAGAAGACAGTCTCTAGCCGTCCAGGGAGCTAACAAGTCCTACCTTTGATCCGAAACACGTAAGTCTTATATGGTTTAATACCCTACTCTCCTCAAATTGATATAATATGTAGTTGTTAATAGTGAAGGAAACGTATGAGTAATTCAATTATCTCATATGCAGCATATGTAATTTATAATCTGTAGGTTTTGACCGAATAAAGAACAATCGTGTTCTATGTGTAAGGGTCTCATTATCCCACATCACCCAACGGGCAGTTATAGGCAAATAACGTGCTGTGTGTGGAGCAGTCACAAGCTTTCAATAAGACTGGCATTGTGAATTGTAAGAACAAGTGGAATAATAATATTGAAATATCACTTTCCATCAACTATTCCAAAAGACAGGAGTTGCCTTCTCGAATATGTCTGTCTCGTTTCACTATCTTTAACATCATCTTCTTTCAGACCTGATGTCTTGGATGTTTCTCTTAACTGCTTCCATCCATATTAACTTCTGCCGTCACCATTAACTCCTCCCTCATCCCATGCCCTCTTGATCGCCTTTCACTCCTCCCGTCGTTCCATATTATCAAACAACCTCAGCTTTGCCTCTCCCATCTTACACATTATTTGTCACTCCTGCTCTTGTTATAATATTTCTTATTTTTTTCAATATCTCCCTGCATGACACTCCCAATATCATTCTCTTATTTCTCTCTAACAACTCCTACTTTTCTCAGTGTCCACCCTTTTACTCTATATTTAATCGACGCCTAATCATTGTCTTACACATTTTTAATCTGAAATGCCTTGATATCCTTGCCACCACAACTTCAACTTTCCTTCCACCCGCCCTTACCCAATCCTTCAATTCCTCTTTAAAACCGAGCCCAGTGTCCATATGCATCATTCCCATCACCCCTCGCATTTCTTATTCACAATACTGATCTCATTCCCTCCCATCTTGCTACACACGACAACCTTACTGACTTCCATCAGTCTTCACTTCCTCCCCTAACCTCTTGTCTACTTTCCACTCCAGTTCCTCGAAATTAGCCTCCTGGTATTTTCCACAACATAAACTATAGCACGATCACCCTTATCCTTCAGTAATGCGGGATCTCCTCGCTGAACTCAACATCAGTTCAGTTTGGGTCATAAGGCTAACATATAAATGACTCAATAGTAGCTAATTCATCATCATTCAAAGGCTGGAAAGGGGAGTGGAAACTTTCACAAGTGTTTCTGTAACTTCTGGGTACCTTAGCCAGGTGTTCCACCAAATACGTTTACCTTTATTCTTGAATCTATTTGAAGTATAACACCCTAATATGGCGTGGAACATTAGTAGTGCAAGGCAGTGTTCTGGACCAAGGTGTTGATAGAGGCGGTGAACATGTAACACGTTCTGATGTTTTTCACTACCAGAAGCAATCCACACTTCAATGCTAGGATTTACTACTGTAATCGTTGGAACTACCCCAAGAGTATGATTAGAACGACTGTATCTCCTGTGCGGAGGAGAACAGAGTTACGTTCCTGAAGGACATGGACAAGATACACAACAATTCTCGAGTCATCTTCTTCGTGATTACAAGTCTCTGTCATACTACTTCCATGCCCCAAATGCACAACACAGTCATCTGAAGTTAAATACAAATCCTTGATGTTGTTGCTGTGGAGACCCTGAGGCAGCATTCTCATTTACCTCATGGTTAATCTGGCACTGGATGGAAAGATAAATGTGTGTGTGTGTGTGTGTGTATGTGTGTTACAGCATTAGCTGCATGGAGTATAACTGTCAATCTCCATACCAAATACAGGGGTATATGAAAATCGGAGTTGTAGTTACAGAGATAAACACCATTCCAATGACGGCCCTGCGTGGTGGCGGCCATTTTGATTTTTGCTGATTAGGGTGTGTTAATGAGGTCTAAAGTTTGTGCCCTTCATCATATGCTGAAGAGGATATATCAAAGATTATCGGGCCAAGTTTAGTGATTTCTTTCCAAAGTGCACTCTCTCGCCCAATTTGGACCCTAAGAGGGTGGACTAAATGTTCGTGTTTGAAGTGCATAAAAGAGGGTAATATTATGTTTAACCTTTATTATATGCCTGGACCAAGGAACTGAATAAGTTTCTTTATTCAGAAATATAATAAGTAAGTTTTGTTAAGCAATATAATGGAATTACTGACCTGAAATATTTATTTTAATTACCTCTCTTTTTTAATTTTAATAATAACGTACATGTTACTTTCTGATAAAGGTTTGAATAAACTATATATGTTATTATGCAAAGAATATATATTGTTACTCTGTATTAACTCTCTTCATTATATTAATTTTTGGATGATTTTGTTTTTTTTTAATCTAATTTTATTTATAGATCTTATGGTTGACAAAACCTCGTAATACCTTGAAATAAAAATGTTTTTTCTTGATAAAATCTTTATTTGACACCAATATGGTTTTTGTAACACCTCCAGTTACTGTTTCAGGTTCTGGCATATTATGAACTTGAATGGTCACATTATTTGGGGTTAGATTTTTGGAGCACCTTCCGATTCGTGTTCTTTGAGTCAAAATCTATAAGATCATGAAGACAAATCGCTTTTCACAAACGTCGTAGCAAAGTGTCAATTCTTAGTGTGTGGGCTCGTCTCCACTATTACGTTTTGCATGAATATCAATGCATTGGCAATGGCCGCTGCTGCTGGCATATACCAACAGTTTCGTTGATGTTCACCAAAAGGTAAGATATTACTTATATAAATCTCACTAATATGGGAGCCTTTGACTATTGTATTTCCTCGTAAGTCACTAATACTAACATACTTAACACTCACAACATTTATATAGGGCAGAGTATAATCATGTGAACCATCAAAACCTCGTAAGATAACTTTCTCTTAACAAGGGATGTGAAAACCCACCTAACTGGCTGACTAAACGTACTGTACAAAATTAATTTTACCGTAAGTAAATTTGCTTTTTCATCCCTTGCCCTAGGGGTTAACAATGCAGGACTTGTTGCTTGTGTATGAATGTTTAAGTTATGTGTAGCAGCGGCAGGAAAGCCATCTTGGTAATCCACGCCAGGCTCAATCTTACAAGGTGAAGGTGCTGGGTGTAAGCTGGTGTAAGCTTGGCTCACACTCGGTTACCAAACAACAGGTCATAAGTAAACAACTACATCTGAGACATTAAGCTTGTGTTTATTAACGTTTACTTTTAATTTCTTATTCAACAACTTTTAACAGGATAGATAATTCTGGAATTTCTCTCGAGAAACTACTTCAATGGAGGACGACTTTCATTACTCTTTTATCTGAAAGAAATTGCAAAACCTACTCTAAAATTAGATGTGCATTCCCCTTCAACCCGACTTTATGTACACTAAGGTCATTCAACATTACTCAAAACTCCGTCATACTGCACTTACCGACAAGCCCGTAGAGGGTAGCGAGCAACACAGACACCATGTATATAACATTAGTGTACCGATAGTGCAGACGAAACACCAAGTTCTCCACAACTGGCTTCATGTCCACTTTTATTTTTATTTTCGTTAATGATCGGAACGCCATTGTCGCTGTTTCTCTCCCACACGTCTAAGAATAGTAACCAACCTAATGGTCTGTCTCACTAAACTCTGTTCAGCGCAAACACAACTCACTTCTTGGTCGACAAAGAAAAAATTTTGACAATTGATTTGATTAATTTGTTATTGTTGTGGTGGTGGTGATTTAACCACAGTGTTCAGGAGAGAATAGGTCAGGTTCTGTTAGACAGTATGTTAGAGAGTCCCTCCTTCTCCCCAAAGATCAAGAGCGACTGTCTCTGCTGTAATTAATAATATGTGAAATGTAATCTAATCGATCATCTGATAATTTAATTACCTAACCAGACACATATCTAGGTGATGCGACACTTACCAGCAGTTGTCATCCCAACAATCTCATCTTTGATTTTCGTATCGCTCTCAATATACAGTTTAATATTTATCTACTTAAGTTTCAGTTCATACATATATTAATTTGTCCTTACCAGGAGTTACACTCTAACCAAACTATCTACGTATCATAATATTTTACTTTTTCAGAGAATACCATAGAGTGCTGCTTGGCCGATTGTGGGGTCTAGAGTGCTGCTTGGCCGATTGTGGGGTCCAGAGTGCTGCATGGCTGGTTGTGAGGTCCATAGTGCTGATTGGCTGATTGTGAGGTCCAGAGTGCTGCTTGGCTGATTGTGCGGTCTAGAGTCCTGCTTGGCCGATTGTGGGGTTTAGAGTGCTGCTTGGCTGATTGTAAGGTCCAGAGTGCTGCTTGGCTGCTTGTGAGGTCCAGAGTGCAGCTTGGCTGATTGTGAGGTCTAGAATGCTGCTTGGCCGAGTGTGAGGTACAGAGGACTTCTAGGTCGAGTGTTAGTTCCAGAGTGCTGCTTGGGTGATTGTGAGGTCCAGAGTGCTGCTTGACCGAGTGTGAGGTCCAGAGTGCTACTTGGCCGATTGTGGGACCCGGGGTACTGCAAGTCCCAGTAAGTGTTGTGTGATACCCTGGGTAGTGCTTGGTTTAGTAAGTGTTTTATGGGGTCCGGGGTACTTCCTGACCCCGTAAGTGTTGTGTGGGGCCCGCGGTGATGCCTGGCACAGTGTCATGCCATGACTGTGGGCCAGCTGGTTAAGGACTCGTTGGGCTGGTTCAAGCAGCAATTACTGACGTCAATCAACGTTACAGCTCGTCTTAGCGGGACTGGCCAGTGAGACGGGACGACGAGGTGGTGTGACGAGGGTGAGCTAGCGGCCGTCGACCGTTACCTCCGGGAGTCCGACTGCTGGCCTGGCCCTGTCAACACACTCTGCCGCGAGCCGTGTGCTGTGGGAGACTTGCCATGAGCCGTGTGCTGAGTGAATGTTGCCGTAAGCCGTGGGCCGTGTGCTGTGGGAATGCTGCCGTAAGCCGTGTGCTGTGGGAGTACTGCCGTGAGCCGTGTGTTGTGGGAGTACTACCGTGAGCCGTGTGCTGTGGGAGTGCAGCCGTGCTTCGTAGGAATCCTGCCTTGAACCGTGTGCTGTGGAAGTCCTGCCGTGAACCATGGGCTGTGGGAGTACTGCCGTGAGCCGTATGCTGTGGGAGTCCTGCCGTGAACCGTGTGTTGTGGGAATGCTGCCGTGTGTCATTACCAGTGTTGTGTGTTTTGATTATTAAATAGTTAAGTCCACCCTTACACGTTGTTAATACCAACGCTATTATTCTATTGGAAATAGTATAACAATTGGCACCCGAATAAGGACAACGTTTGGGTGGACTTTTTGATGAAACTGTGTGGATTTAGATTGGTTACGGTTACGGCTGTGGTAAGGCAGGAAAGATGTTTACCTCAGAATTATTTGAGGAGGCAAAGCTGATGGGGATCAGTGAACCTACTGAAATTAGAAATTATGTGTTGACTAGGCAAGCCGATGAATGTCAGGATAGAGCCAAGGAACGGGAAGAGCGAGCCAAAGAACGAGAAGAGCAAGAAAAGCTTTTCCTTTACGAGCTTGAAGTTTGGAGAATTAGAAGTGAGGAAGCTGAGAAAGCCAGGAAACACGAACTGGCGATCACAACAATTAAACAGGATTCCCCCGCCCAGACGCCTGCCGTATCCTCATTACCTCGCGTAAAACTACCAATGTTCGACGAGCAACAAACCATAGAACCATACATACAACGGTTTGAGGATCTGGCAGAGCTCTACAGTTTCAGCGAGTCTATGAAATGTCTCCACTTCATGAGCTTGGTCGAGGGAAAGCCACTGGAGATCCTGCATCGTATCAGCAGTAATGAGAAGACATATAACATGATAAAGTCAGCTCTTCTTAAGGCTGATGGGGTAAAAGTAGACCAAGCAAGATCCCAGTTTCCTGGTGCTACGATGCAGGACAAGAGGACCGCTACTCAGTTTGCGGTCCGTCTCACTGCTTATTCAAACCAATGGATCAGCATGGACGAAACACCAGATACCAAAAGGGAATGAAGGATTTTATGTTATGCAATCAATTTGAAAATTCTTGCCCAACCGAGCTGAAAAACCGGACGCTCACTTTTCTGCATATGGCTACCAACCAAGGAAAGAGTGGCAAGGTAAGAAACCATTAGCACCTCCCCAGTACAAAGATCAGTCACAGCAAGGAAACCAGTATCTTTATCGTCAACAACATCCGTCATATCAGACTTAAAAGAGGGACCAGACTAAATGGCGCTCAGGGTTTAATCACAGTGATATCCGACAACAGAAAACCGCCGCCACTGCGTTCCACCACAACGAGGATCCTGAACCCTTTTAGAAGTTACAACCTCCACCTCAGGATGACTTAGAACAAAGGCATCACAAGTTTTGACTCGCAGCCGCCTCCAAACACTCTCGTCACTGGCACGCCAACTTCCTTATCCAGCCTGCGTATGTAGGAAACCAAGCAGTCAGTGTTATGAGGGACAACGGATCCTCGAGCTGCGTGGTGAAGAAGACCTTGGTACTAAACCATCAGTTCACCGGTGGGCAGATTCACGTCAAGATGATTGACGAATCTATAACAACTGTGTCCACAGAGTGTGTTGTATATGTTTGGGGATAATTAACTGGAAATAATTATCCCATGTTGGGTAGTGGACCCATGTATTGGTTGGTCTCAATATTAACATGTTGTATGTTGCGAGTGCATCCCATATGCACTACCAATAGTCTGTGAAGTATCATAAGTAAGTTTGTCTTATAACTGGATGTAATGAAAAGTACCTAGTAATGGGGGAGGAGTAAAATTGTCCACTTTGGACTATGAGTAAAGCCTTGTAATTGTACTATAATGCCACGTACCACCAGTAGGTGTGAGAAGTAAAGCAGTCTGCAAGGAGTTGTCATATATCTATGTATTGTGAGTAGTGCCAAGGAACTGGTCCTGCTATGTAATGTACAGTAATGTAACACCAGTAAGGTTATGTGCAGTGAGAGCACAGGATCTGAGTACATTGCAGTTGAGTAAAAATAAGAAAATACTGAGTCTGCAATAAGCCGAGGAGTTGCCCCTTGGAGTTATATGTTAATTATTATCTTTTTCCCTTTGATTTCATACTAATAAACCTGTTCTTTGAGTATTTTAGGAGTTTTTATTTTTCCCGCAGTATTTCACCTTTATTTCCAACAAGTGACTTGTTATCAGAATTACAATATCCATGTGCCTAGACCCTCGACATGCTACCAAAAAGAACTGAGGTTATGAAGTTAACCAGTGAACTGAAGTAAGTAGAAAGAACAATTGAAAGAAAGAACTAAGACAAGAAAAGTAAGAGTAAGATAAGGGTGGCAGGTGAGTAGAGAGTAACCTCCGCTCATACAACTGTGCCTGAAGAAAGAGTGCACATGGAATCGCCGTTCTTCACTGGTTGGATTAATGCAGCAGTTATATCCGAGCCTATTTCTGAAGTGATAATTGGGAACATTAAATGGGTTAGGAGTAGCTTCTTCATGGATGCGACCACCCAGACTTCTGCTGCCGCCGTGACCCGGCAGGCGGCTCGAGCACAACCACATGCCATTCCACTGGTCGTTACGGCGCCTTTCGACCTCATGGACAGTCAAGACGTACTGACAGAACAAGAGACAGACTCCACGCTCAATACGGTACGAAAGAACTTACTGGCAGGGACAGTTAGAAATTCTTATGGCAACCGAACAATATTTGTCAGGAAAAGGGACCGTTTGTATTGTGAGGAACGCCTCCAGTTTGTGGTTCCCACTAAATACCGTAAGATAGTGTTTGAGATGGTTCACTGTGCTGCTCTCGGTGGTCATATGGGGTACAAAAAACTCTTGATTGCGTACAGGCCGTATTCTTCTGGCCTGGCATGGGGAAGGCAGGAGATAGAGAGACTGGTGCGTTCGTGCGATATCTGCCAGAAAACCAGTATTTGTGGACGAGTGAGACCTAGTCCGTCACAGCCTCTGCCAATAATTTCTGAGCCTTTTGAGAGGGGTTGCTGTTGACCTTGTTGGGCCCATCAACCCTAGGGCAAGTGACGGGTCAAAGTATATCCTCACACTCATTGACTTCAGCACGAGGTGGGCCTAAGCCGTACCGCTGAAGAAAATAGAGGCTGTAACCGCTGCCGAAGCAATGATGGAAATATTCTGCAGAATTGGCATTCCCAAGCAAGTGCTAAGCGACAGAGGTAGTCAGTTTACCTCCACCATGATGGAGGAAGTATTCTATCTGCTGTCGGTAAAAGGACTACGCACATCACCCTACCACCCGAGTTGCCTCGGACTATGCGAGCGATTCAATGGGACGCTAAAGAAAATGCTGAGGAAGATGACAGCTGAGCAACCAAAGGAATGGCCTCGCTACATTGCTCCCTTGCTTTTTGCGTTTTGCGAGGTTCTGCAGAGTTCCCTGCTGTATGGGAGAACTGTTCGAGGACCCTGCATGTATTGCGTGAATTATGGGATGACAAGCAGCCTGACCCAGGAGTAAAGACCTCTTACGCCTATGTCATTGACCTCGCTGACCGTCTTCAAGCTACATGTGAGTTGATCAAACAAGAGCTCATCAACGCCCAGTACACTCTGAGGAGCTACTACGATAGGAAAAGAAAGCTTCGTCAGCTGAACGTTGGGGACAAGTGCCTGGTCTTACTCCCCACTGTGCACAACAAACTACTGGCGCAGTGGAAGGGCCTTTACGAGATTATCCAAGTAGGAAATCATCGGAAAAGATTTCACATAAATATGATAAAAAGACACTACTCCAGTGAAGAAGGTATTGCATGGAAATGCATTTCAGAATATTACCAG